AGCCAAAATAGACACTACTGTCCAGACCAGGGCTTTCCACTTGGATTTTTTAAATTTTTCAACAATGCACTGAAGTGAAATGAAGAGCAAGCAACATGTATGTGCAGATGATCTTCTGAAATCAGTGGCTGGTTTCCCTACTACAGAAATTTATCAATGCTTATGAATAGGGCATTTGGTTGGTTTTATTTTAAAAGAAAACAAAAGGCTTCCATTTGCCACTGGAAAAATTGTATGTAATAAATACAGCAAATGTACCTAATTTTTCATTCCACTTCTTGAAGTAGTTGTTGACCTAATGGTTAAAAATGAGGATAATGAATTACTTGTGTTTAACATTTCTGAAAGACTGGGAACGTTATTAAAAATGGATATACCATAAGTACTGTATTTAAACAACAGTGATAATTTCATTATTTATTACTTTCTCTCTCACTTAAAATGATGATTTGTTTCAGATCAGTGTCTCTGGCAGACTTCAGGTTTGGATAGTACTGAAAACATTCTCTCTTATTCCTAGAATGTTTCTTTCTCTAATGAAGAGTTTTAATAACAGGATTGTTAGTAAGATGCTACTATTTATGCAGTTGTGATGTGGGTATCAAATAGCACCAATTCTTAGTGTTTTATTCAGTCTGTGTTAGAAAAAAATTACTGCACAAAATGCAAGGCAAAAGTAAATCAGCCTTTTCTGAAATCCTGTTCTTGGCTGAAAAGTCGTGGAGGTGATTGCCAGTTACAATATAGGCCACTTGCTGTGGTCATGGATTCACGGTGAGTGTATTGTCTCATTTAGAGGGAAACTTGTTTCTCCATCCCCATAGAACATTCTTCTTGGGTAAAAGAAGAATTTTCTCTCTGAACTGCTTCAGAGACTGTCCACCTCTCCAGCTGATCTAACTCTGTCCCTTGCTCATCATATAAGCTCCTATCCTTTTCGGAAAAGATCTGTGTATCTCTGAGCATCCACAGAGAGGGAGTTTATGAGCAGCAAAATGCGTAGGTGTGGTTACTAGCAGGTCACTGCAGCATTAGGCTGTCTCAGGCCTGTATGCTTCCCTTTGCTCTTCTTCCGTCAGTGGAATCTTTTTGTGTCATATAGGGTTCCTCATGCTCATTCTTTTTCAAATAGTGCCTTTAACTTAGGATAAAAAGTCCATGTTAACTTACGCATCCCCTTGCTTTTCAGTGTTTTCATGTTTCCTTCTTTACTCTCCACCTTCAGTTATAGGGCTGGTTCTGGTGCAGTTCAGTGGCTAAGATCAAAAGCAGCCCAATGCTTCTAGCCAGCTCTAGGATGCAACAATCTATTTGAAAGCCCCAGTGTGTCAGTGTCCACGAGCCCCCAGGAATGACCTGTGGGTGGGGATCTGAAGTGTGCCTGAAGGAATGTGTGTGTGTACAGCTATGTGGGTGGTTGAGAGAAACTGCAAGTGGTTGATTCCCACAGCATCTTAGACTTTCTGTCAGGACAGGCAGGACTTAACTTTAATAATCGTGAAGGTTACATGCCTGCATTTGAGGAGTTAATTATTCATGAAGCTGACAATTTCAAACTCTGTTTGTTGCCTGGAAGATTTGCTTTAGGCCAAGCCAGTGCAAAATATCCTCTTAGCAGCAGCAGCCTTGTTTATTTTCCTTTGGGGAAGACAGAGGTACACAGGTACCTATGTTGGCCTGAATGTGTAGATAAGCTTTACAAATAAGTACCTAACTTATTGACACATTTGTATTGGAGGATTTGTATAGTTTTGAGATGCTCATTTACAGCTGAATATACAGGAGAGGAAAAAGTGGAAGATGCACAGCCTCTTCCATACCCCTGCAAACACACCTTGGACCCTTGTTTCTAAACAGGCAATTCTGCCACTTCAGTTTTTTCCATAACAGCTCAGTAGTTCAGTCACACAGTTGCTTCTTATTCTCTCATAAGTCTGTTATTATGTAGATAAATAATACATGTTAAATAGTTAATGTTCTCCATGTCATTAAAAGGACTTAAGAATCAGAAGCCCACAGGAACTCAAATCCACATGTAAGTCATCTCTCAGTAGTTATACACTTAACTGAAATTACAGGACAGAAACAGAAGTCCTGAGTACCAACTCAATTAGGCTTTCATCATAGTAGCAGGAGGGTGTTATCCTATAGATGGACTTACTAAGAGGGTTTTGGGGTTTTTTTTGCTTAGTCTGGCATGGAAATGGTGAAAGGAAGTGGCTCGGGGAGGAGGGAGGAAGCGAGGCAGAGCAGCATGTTTTATTTTCATTCTAAAATTACATTCATTGAATTTAGTACAGTGAAAAGTGCTGTCTTGGGCTGTTCAGAGAGTTGTCTAAAAGTTCTGTCTCCACAAAACAGCGATGACAGTGCATTTTTTTTCTTGATTTTTAAAATGCAAATCAGGAGAAGAGGAATACTGCATTAAATCTCATGTTTTCTCATTCTGTCCTTTGATACCATGGTGTAAATCAAGAATGATTTCTTGAGGGTGATGAAATTAATTAGTATAAAATCAGTGTGACTGAGTTTTATTTTTGCAACGTCTTGGTGTCTTCTAACAGTTTATTTACTTTTCGTTTGAGTAAACAGAATGGTTTAAACCTAATTTTTTATTTTCTAAGTTAGTAGCTAGAAAGACAGAGGACACTGTGAAGATAGCCTGTACAGCATGACAGTGTCCCAGAAGCTCATGGTTAAACCCTTCTCTGACTCAATGATGGGGTGCTTCAGGGAGGACAAAAGAAAAATACTTCACGAATAAGCCACGTTCAGTGAAACAGATGTCTTAATTTGGGAGCAACAAGATTGGAAATCAAATCCTGAAGTGTGAGATACCACAAGTCTGGTATATCACTGGTGAAGACTCAGAAAACAATTGTTTCTCACCTTCATTGGCCTCTGAAAATAATTGGTCTGCACCATGTTACAATACAGCACTGTGCCACAGATCCCAGGAGTCTCGATATAGAGGACTGAGCTTAAAGTTCTGCTGAGATTTGAAAGTAACTGAGAGCAGTGTAAAAAGTGCTGTCATGCTGCAAGAGTGATGTAGAGCTGCAATTTGTACTAGGAGCAGGAAGGAAGCAATTGGCACAGATTGAAACAGTGCACACTTTTCAGCAGGGTGGTGCCAAGTAGTTGCTATCCAAACACAGAACAAAGCCAAAGGGAAGAAGCGTAAGGAAGGCTGCAGCTGCTCTGAACAGTGAACAGAGAGCCAGTAGTGCTATGGTTAATATTATAAATTGAATAGAAAAAAACCATATGGAAGAGTGAGTGTGGCTGGACATCACAGCATCTTTCCCCAACTGTGCTTCTCACTTGCTTCAGGCTGACGACACACATTTTCAAATGGATTTGTCAGTGCATTGCATTCTTAACTTTTGTGACTTGTTTATGTCATGGCTGAAAGTGAGGAGGTCAGCATTTAACCAAATAAGACTGAGAAATTATGTGACTAGAAATATCCAGAAGACTTGAGCATGCTGTAAAAGAGATGTGACTGGAAGCAAGTTGGGAGTTTATTTCTCCACTTAATAGCCAGTGATTAATAGTTCCAAATTTATTATTAACTGTGTAGAAAAAGCATAGACAAGTACCCACAGGAGACTGCTGGAGTCCCTGAAGAAGCTCTAGTTCACTTCATTGGAGCCAGTTTGTAGTAAGGCAGTAGTCTATATATTTATCCTTCAGTAAGACATGTGAAGTCCTGTGTTCGGAGTTTCGTTGGACTGCAAATCTGGTGTTGAAATTCCAGATAAAGCAATGTGTTTGGCTCTGTGGTTTGCACCAAGGAATGGGTTGGCTTCTTAACTGCAACCCAGCCTAGGAGCTGCTAGCTAAGTTAGGCTTTTTCCTACTCTGTGATGTCATTGCTCATAAATACTCTGCAAAGCACAGCAGGTCTTAGTGACACCAGGGAGGTGCAGTTTCTCTTTACTTATCTTATAACTGAATTAAACTAAATGGCAATTTGGCATATAGTGTGTGGAGTGGGATGGGATCCAGCCCATCAGGTGTTGTACTTCATGTGCATGTTTGACAAGAGTAAAAGCTGAAGCCAACAAGATCTCACTTGAATAACCTACAATTCTTCCAGCTACAGATTTCCTTAATGGCAGTAGAGTTGAGAGCTCAGGGTACCATCTTAAACTCACTTGTAGGAGTTATCTTAATGCACTTTCATGCAAGTCAGCAGATTTAGATGAAAATTTTGCAGAAGGTAATGCTTCATGTATGTTACTTAGCTCTTTCTTTTTTTTAAGTCTTGGGGTTCTGTTCCATATTTTGGGGGTAGTTCAGACATCCTGATCCTGTCAGGGATATCCATATCCTTTTGCCAATATAATCACTTAACAGCAATCTGTATTATTTGAGGATAAGGATGTAGTAAGTAATAACAAGTAAGAAGAACTTAGAATTATTATCAGCATATGCTGATGTTCGTCCACACCACAATGGCCTTCATCACAGTCCTAAGTTTATCCAGGAGGGTAAATTAAAATAGTAAATGAAACCATAATTAAGTACCTTTTTATTAGGGTCATAAAAGCTTTGGAAGGAGCTAGAGAACAGCAGAAGCTACGTCTACACTGCAAACATATGACCATCTAGTTTTGCTGATTTGTGAGCTTTTGTTGATGTCAAGTGTCAACAAAAGCCCTTAGTCCAGTGTGGTTCAATTGGCAGAACTTCTTATTGATAGAATGCACTTTGAGTTGTTCGAGGTGGAATACAGTGTTTCAACAGAAACACAGTTTTAGTGGCAGGAACCGCAGGAGCATCAAGGATGCTGGTGGCTTCACAGCCGAATGGTCACAATGTGGGCTGCGGAGTCATCGTTACTCACATGACCTTATCTGGCTGGAGAAGATACTCATGGGAATTTATTTGCATACAAGTTGCTAAGTGCTGGATGGTGTTCTAATAGCAAAAAACTCAACAATGACTGTCTCTAACCAATTCTTCCTTTCTGTTTTGCTCTGTTTCTCCTGCAGGGCTTGTGAAGTTGGGCGTTCACTGTGTCACGTGTCAGAAGGTCGCGATAAAAATTGTCAACAGAGAGAAGCTCAGTGAGTCGGTGCTAATGAAGGTAATTTTCTAATGGGAGATTTAAAAAAAAAATTAAATTCTTGGCTCTGTGTCTTCTGTTCCATGCAAAATTAATATCTTTAATTATGTATAACAAACATCCCTGTCAGTACTAGGATTATGCAGAGCATAATAACAATAATTTAGTTATGGGGAAGGCTAGGGCAGTTGAAATTAAATGGGAGTATGCCTGTGCTTTGCGAACGAAATAAACGGTCAGCTGTAGAGGTCTTGCTTCTCTGTTGGGGCAGGTGTGTGTTGGGCATTGGACTTCCCCCACTGCAGTTGTGTGGTTGCGGTGCATTGCAGACTGAGGTGTACAAATGTCAGCATGAGGAGATTTAACAGAGGCTAGTAAATCTGTTACTTGAATACTCCCACTGCTTGCTCTGATGCATGGGTTCTTTATGATCTGATGTGCCAAGGTCTGTGACTGTTTAGAGCTGTTGTAATTCTGTTTACAATCCACAGAGCTGTGCCATTGGAAACCATCAAGGTGTTTGTCCCAATGGTCCCAATGACTGTTAGTGTTCAGAAGAGCTTAGTTTGTTTTTTACCTAGCCTTGTGATTCTCCTCACATGAATGTCATTGATTGATCTTGGAAACCTAAAAATAAAATAAATGTATGCATAACAGTTTATGCATGTGATTTGGTGACTAGAAAGGCTAAATTCATCTTGATGGGAAGGAACACAACTGCAGTGCAATCAACGAATTCCATCACGCTGTCACCTGCAAATTACGCTAACAGGTTTGTGTGCAGCGTGGAGCACTTTGCTGAGGTAACTTCCCTATAGAAGCACACAGAGCATATAAGTTTATACTGCTGTTTCCTATATGGACTTCTGTGTCAGCTGTTTCCAAGCACAAGTATAGCAATCTTAGTCAGAGCAGAAAGAAAATGGATTTTCAGCTAATATAGAGTCAGTGAATGTTACACAAAAAATATAAGTTTATTTTTTTTTCAGAAAAGAATTCTGAAAGTTTACATTCCACTGTAATGTGTTCAGACTTCACCTTTCTGGAATTTCATTGATATATTCCTTCTCCTGCAGTACTGTGGATTCAAACAGACTTCTAATATAGACCAAAAGTTAGAAAGTGAAATAGGTAAGAAAACTATGTGTAAATGGTAAAATCTGAATGAGACACTAAACACTGGATATTTTCCAGAGTAAAATAATAGGAATATTTTTAACAAACATGAGCATTTTGTTCTCTGAGAGACACTGTCTGGTATTTGTATAAAACATTTTATTTACCTCATTGATTTTCAGAGTAGGAGGCAAATCACTTAGCATAGCAAAGCAATCTCTCTGCTTTAGTTGTGTTGCATTACCTCGGTTGTAGTATGAAATCGGAGTTGTGAAATGGTGTGTTAGGCCCTTGTTTACACAGCCACATGCTGAAGCGTGCCATGTTTTCTGTAGGATTGTACAGCATCTTTCTCAGGAGGAAATCACATGTTTTATTGTGGTTCTCATTTTCAGACCCTTCTTGGTAAGATTTTCTCTTTCAAGGATTCTGTTCTCTGTGCTCAGGAGGTTGGAACAACAGATGGGATTGAAGTGGTTTGCCCAGTTCTTGCATAAATTCAGTAACCAGATGTCTTTTCAGGAATGCCCTCTGTCTGCTGGTCACAGACAGGGCCTGAGACTTCTAAGTGAATTTAGAATTGACTGTACTGTTAGCCAGCTTAATCCAGTCAGGCTGGAGGGCAAAAAAGCAGTTTTTGGCAATCCCAGTGTGACCATTGCGAAGCATCCAGCTGACAGCCTGCTGTGTGGAGTCAGCAGCCGCAGGGAAATAGCCAACAGTGAAGCCAAGTCACAGTACTGTGGTGGTGTCCCTACTTTGTGCAGCTTCCCACTAGCTTATCAGTTCTAGTGACTTTCTTTGCCAGTGGGCTGTGCAGAACAGCCCCTGGAGCCAAATGATTCAAGACCACATCAACTCTCCCAAGCCAGGCCCAGATTGATGGATTTTGCTTTAATCCAGCCTTGGACAGAAAAACTGGATCTGACAAACATGCACACCTGCCACATGAAGCTGTAACAGTGCAGAGCTGTGGCCATTTATCCTAGAGCATAAGGAAGAAGTCTGCTCACGGTCCTTTCAACATCTGAAGTGACAGGCACAAGCATATACAGCAGGCTGCTTTCCTTGTCATCATTATTCTATTTTGACTTGCTTCTTGTAGCCTTCATTTCTCCAGTGTTTTTGCAGTATTTTATTCTGTATGTTCAGGGAACTGTCCCTTCTCTCTGCAGCTGCTCTTCATCTGAGCTGTGCAGAATTGAGAGGCATTTGGTAAAGTGCTTTCTAATCATAATGCCATAGTATCGATATTTCTGGAGAGAAAAATTTGGAATTGAAGCAGCTGGTCTCAATTAGCAGAACTGCTGCTATGGAGATGATACACGGGCAGGCATGCTGCAGCACAAGCTGCACTAAATGTATCATCCAAGCACTTGCTGCCCTGTCAAAGGACAGGGCTGCTTAGTGCACATGGGAGCCTTTTGCTTTGTCATGTCCTTACTCGCTAAATGCAGGCTGGGGAGCAGTGTTCCTTTCCCAGCTCCAGCTTGGGCCTGTTTGGGAGCCTGGCTTTGGGGCAAAGCTACAAATGTAATTTCACAGTTGAGAACAAAGGGTTGGTTCTGTTCTCGCTCCTGCTTTCATGCAACTGGTAAAAGCTTCAGCTGGGTTTCTTCAACTGCACTGCGGTAACCCCCACAGATGTGGAGACCTGCTTCCCACCGTAACTCTAGCTCGCTCTAGCACAAAATTGACAGAAAGATTTCAGAAAGGAGTATGTTGCAGTGAGCATTTTGAGATTGAAATACAGTTCATTGATTTCCCTGAATTACTTCTGGATCGCTGACAGGGAAATTAGGCCCAGAATACAAGAACTGAATGTGTCCTTAAAGCAGTAAGCTTTCCTGAGCAGGTGGGTTCACTACTGATGGTTTAATTTTCAGTACCAGTACAAGTGTTTGGAGTTTATAACTTCAGAATATAAAGGTTAAGTAAATCTTTCCTCTCATGTGGCAAAAGCTTGTTAGGAAACATTGAGGTGTCTCATGAGACACAATCAGGAGAATCCTGTCTCCTCTTTACTGCCTCACCAGTTCTCTTCCACTCCTTCCTTCCAAAGAATAAACAACAACAAAAAAACCTACTCATTTGGTGATCCATCAGATGAAATACTCTTTGGACAGACAGAGGTAGTAGAAGCAATGGGAGCATAAAGGGTGAAGAGCAAGAAGGGGACAGCTGGCCCTGGTCTAATTACTTGAACACACGGGCATCCTGAGAAAGCCACAGATGTCCCAGGCTTGATGATTGAAGCCCAGAGCTCCATATGTGTGCTTTGTGTCCATGTGCCTTTTGTTTCTTCTGAGTCCTCTAGTGCTGGCCTTGAAGCAAGGCAGATATTTCCAGGGCGGGGGATGGGAAAGAACACAGTCCTACTTTAGTGGAGCTCAATTGTGACATGAGTAGTGGTTGGGGGGGGACTGTCAGTTGGTTTAGTGCCTTGTAGTACTAATGAGCTCTGCTTCCAAAAAATTCTGCAAGGCATAGTGTGTGTTCTTAAACTGGGAAGGTCTTGCAATAACCACTAATGGAAATCACTGGTTGGATGAAATAATTGAGTGGAAGGATAGGTAGGAGAATCGAGTATCAGCGTCTTGGAATTGACAGGATAACTTAGGGAAGCATACTTGTAAATGGGCACTGCTTTGCATGGTCTTTTTGTCATCTCTTGCTTCTTTGTGAGCTTCTATTTCAGTAGGTGTTTACTTCTGTGCTACCTTATCCTACTTTTGAGTCTTTTCCTTCCTTCTCTGTCCTTCAAGGAAAAAAGTTTAGAAATTGGGCACAATTTAGAAAGTATCTGAGAGAATAAGTAAACAATCGGAGCTTGGATTTTATAAGACTCAAGGGTCTCAATCCACCTAGTTTATTAAAGAGAAGGTTAAGACAGCTTCATCATGGTCTGTAAAGAGTGATAAGGAGGATAGGCACATGATAACAGAGGGTATTACAGTCTTGGGTACAAAAAGTGTATTGGAAACTAATAGTTATAAGCTGTAACTAGATTGAATGTAGAAATACTAGGCCTGTTTGATCACTGGATGAAGTTACTAATTGGAACTAGCCACCCAAAGCTCTAGTGAGTTTGTCCCCTGAAAGACTATTAAACTTCCTCTTAAACCTCTGTGTGTTTTTCTAGACCCGAGATCCTAGTTCGACTTCAGCTGCTGGACTTGAAGTAGGAAGTAGTTGATAATAGTTTCCTGATCCGTGCTATGCATTAGCTCTGATTAGATTAATGCAGCAGCCTCTTTGGCCTTAAAATCCACGGAGCTGTGAATTTCCATCACACACTTGAAATCTGTAAAAAGTCACATGCCTCTGTCTGGAGCACAAAAGAGAGGCACTTGTGCAAGGTGTCTGCAGAAGCAGAAATTTAGGCTCCCCTAAGCGAAGTTAAAGAAGGTAATACTTGGGAGCAGCATCTTCTCTTTGGAATTTGTTTTCAGATTTTTCAAAGAAAAGACTGTGATATTGGCTGACCTAGCTGTCCTCAGCTGCTGACTGCAGGCTGGTCTACAGAAATGATTACTAGAATATCAGAACAATATCAGGGAGCAGCTAAATCCGAGGCAGAGATAGAATTGGACTGAAGAGTGTAATTTGGTTCAAGTTCAGCTTTGATCATAACAAGGGCAGTTTCCCTGACATTAACAAAGCCAAACTCACCAACACTAAACCTCGATGTCACCAAATCGATATTTTTTCTAATGTACTCAATAGTGGCCTAATTGTTTTCCAGCTCCAGTATTTAGGAGTTTTGCTATTGATTGCAGTGGAAATGGTGTTAAGCTGCTGCTGAATCCCACTGAGTACATCTACCATTGGGTACAAATGAACACAAGACCATGGGATATCACCAGTGAGATGCATTTAGATTAATCTAGGATACTGGCAGACAA